CAGTGGCACATGCCTTTAGTCCCAGCACTCTGGAGGCAGAGGCAGGTGGATATCTGTGAGTTCAAGGCCAGCCTAGTCTACATAGCGAGTTCCAGGATAGCTGGGGCTACAGGGAGACCCTGTCTCAAAACAGACCAAAATAATAATAATAATAATAATAATGGTGAGTGTTGTGGTGCATGCCTTTGATCCCAGCACTCAGGAGGCAGAGGCAGGTGGATCTCTATGAGTTCAAGGCCAGCCTGGTCTACATAGCAAATCCAGGCCAGCTGTGGCTACAGGGATTAGCCAAATCTTTTTGATTTGTCCCAAAAAGACAAAAAAAAAAAAAAGAAGAAGAAGAAGAAATAATAATAATAACAACAAGTGAGGTTGCAAGATGGACTCACTGGTAAAGGAGCTTGCTGCCAAACCTGACAACCTGAGTTCAACGCCTGGATCACATAGCGTAAGGGAAAAACCAGCTCCTGCAAGTTGTCTTCCGACCTCCGTGTACATTGTATATGTACACCGTGGCACACACATATACAATGAATAACTAAATGTAGAACTGAAAACTCCCACCAACATCAGGGGTGTGTATGTGTGTGTGACTGGCTGAGCGGGAGACAGTGGACGACTCTGTGTGACTGACAGTATAGTGAATGAGTGTGTGTCTGTGAATGAGGGTGGTGGTGAGGAGGACTGGGTGTGTGTGCCAGTCTGTGACTAGCCGAGGGCTAGGGCGGGTATGCTTGGAGCACCTCCCCTCCTGCCACAGGTGGAGCTAGAGGAGGGCCGCCTCGTGGAGCTGGCGCAGCAGCAGACCCGGACCCAGAGGGCCTGCCACTTGCTCACCTACCTGCGCATCAACGTTTTCATTGCGCTCCTGGTGGTTGGAGCCATCAGTGCCATCTTCTGGGCCACCAAGTACTCTCAGGACAACAAGGAGGTGCCAGGCAATTGTGTCCCTTCCCTTCTGGTCTGATTGGTGGGAGGAGACAGGTAATCCCACTTTGCAGATGAGAGCAGCTCAGAGAGGCCAAGGCCCTGCACCTGAGCTGCACCGTCCAGGCTCTGACTTCCTCCCTCCTTCCCTCAGGAGTCCCTCTTCCTGTTGCTCCAATACCTGCCCCCTGGCGTCATCGCCCTGGTCAATTTCCTGGGTCCCCAGCTCTTCATGGTCCTGGTCCAGCTGGAGAACTACCCTCCCAGCACTGAGGTCAATCTCACCCTGATCTGGTGAGCATCCCAGGGTGCAGCATCCCACTGCTGTCTTGGTTGTCACTGGGCCTTGGGGCCCTGAGCTGGGAGACTCTCGTGTTCACTGCTGCAACAAAGGGTACGTACGTGGGTGGAGCTTCCAGAGCACCCAGTCTCAGGAGCCTGGTTCCCTTACCCCTGAACCCTGAACAAAGCCACCGGCTTACACCAAGGGGGACACCATTCAGAGCAGTGGGGGCCACCACAGGGGGTCAGGAACAAGCTGTGAATACTTACAAAATCCAACAGAGAGACACAGCTCCCACAGGCCCTGAAGTTTGGACATTTACCTTAATGACCCTCACTGAGCCTGGGAAAGCTGGACCATCCTCCTTCCTGTCTGAACAGGCTCAAAAGGCTGAGTGCCCTGACCAAGGCCACGCGCTTTCTTTTCTCCTCTTCCTGGTTTTGCCCTTTCCCACCTCAGCAGCTGGTCCTGACTCCACTCTGAGCCCCGCTCTGAATGCCCCCATACACCCTGATGCACATCCCCTCAGCCCCGCACACCCTCTCTCCTGCCACCGCCCTGGCCTGGCCCACTTTTCTCTCTGCCTTCACTCTGATTTGCTTTGTTATTTTCTGACTAAAGTATAATCAGACACGATAATTCAAAGTCTGCATAGTGGCATGCCCTTAGCACTTGAGAGACAGGAAGATCACAAATTCAAGGCCAGTCTGGAAAATCAAAGTGAAGGGCTCACAAGACAGTGCAGCAGTAAAGGCCTTGCTATCAAGCCCGATGCACTAGATTCAGTCCCTGGAAGCAAAGAACTGACTCCCACAGTTGTCCTCTGACCTGCACATAAGTGCTATGCACGCATGCGCACGCTCATACACAAACACACACACACTAAATAGAAGTAATTTGGGGGAGGGGTCTTTTTTTTTCTTTTTTTCTTTTTCTTTGTCTTTTTTTGTCTTTTTTTCTCCCTGTAGCCCCAGCTGTCCTGGAACTCACTATGTAGACCAGGCTGGCCTTGAACTCACAGAGATCCACCTGCCTCTGCCTCCCGAGTGCTAAGATTAAAGGCGTGTGCCACTACACACATTAGAAGTAATTTTTTTCCCAATTTTTTTGTCTTTTTGAGACAGGGTCTCCCTGTAGCCCCAGCTGGCCTGGAACTCACTGTGTAGACCAGGCTGGCCTTGAACTCACAAAGATCCACCTGTCTCTGCCTCCCAAGTGCTGGGATTAAAGGCATGCATCACCACACCTGGCTGGGGGCGTTTCTTTTTGAGACAGAGTCTCCCTGTAGCCCCAGCTGGCTTGGAACTCACTGTGTAGACCAGGCTGGCCTTGAACTCACAAAGATCCACCTGCCTCTGCCTCCCAAGTGCTTAGACTAAAGGCATGCGCCACCACACCTGGCAGAAGTAATTTTTTTAAAACATCAAAGTCAAGGGGCTGGAGAGATGGCTCAGCAGTTAAAAGCACTGACTGCTCTTGCAAAGGACCAGCGTTCAGTTCCCAGCACCCACATGACAGCTAACAATTCAAACAAGTCAAACATGTCTGTAATTCCAATTCCAGGGAATCCAATGCCCTCTTCTGGCTTCTGCACGCATTGCATGCACTTATGTACATCCAGGCAAGACACTCATACACACAAAATATAAATGAATAAATTTAAAAGTTATTTTTTAAAAAAGTCAGGGGGCTGGAGAGATGGCTCAGTAGTTAAAAGCACTACTGCTCTTCCAGAGGACCTGGGTTTGCTTCCCAGCACCCACCTACTTGGCAGCTCACAGCTGTTCATAACTCTAGTTTCAGGGGATCCACCACCCTTTTCTGGCCTCCATGGCATTGCTCAAAAGGAAGCCAGGGAGATGGCTCAGTGGGTAAAAGCGCTTGCTATGCAAGCCTGACAACTTTAGGCTTGGGTCCCTGGAGCCCCTGTAGAAAGCCGGATGTGGTAATGTGCACCAGTAACCCCAGCATTCCTATGGAGAGATGGGAGGGGGAGACAGAATTACAGCACACCAGGCAGTGGCAGAAACTAGAGACCTTGCCAGTTAGACAAAGAGATGCTCACCGGAGTAAAAGGTTTCAAAATGAGGTTCCACCTACCACTGCCTTCCAGCTTCCCTCAGGTGAAGTCTCACCCCGGGTTCCTAGCCCTTCTAGCCACACACAAGTGTTTAAGTGTTGTAATTGTCCACTCTTGCAGAAAACGGGTGTGTGATGGTTTCAGGCCATCAGACCTATATGGTCCAGTGACAAGTTATGCAGTATCTACACACAAATTGTGTTTCTCATAGACGAAATGCTTCACAGTGAGCTCAGGAGTGGACAAGTGGTAGCTCTGGAGGCTGGGGTGTAGCTCAGTGGTAGAGCCTGCGCTTGGCATGGAAGAGGACATGAGTTCAGATCCCCAGCACCCGTGTAAAATCAGATGTGGCATTGTATGCTTTAAATACTCTCCCACATCCCACCAGGGTGGTACTGGGGTAATGAAGTTGGGCAGACCCCAGGGGCTCCCTAGATAGCCAATCTGGCCTAAACAGCAAACTCCAACTTCAGTAAGAGACCCTGTCTCAAAATAAAAAGTGAAGAGGAATAGATGAAGACCCCAAAGTCAACCTCTGGTCTCCACACACATGCACAAGCAAACACACACACGCGAACAGGCAAACACATGCACACACACATGCATACCCAAACACAGAGAAAGGAGGCGTCACCTGCACTGAGGCACGGAGGTTGCAGAAAGTTTCAATGTTTCTCCTTGTATGAATCACAAAGCTAGGGAGGTGGGGAGGGTTAGCTGGACAGTGCACATTTCCCAGACTGGTTTAGAAACAGGACCTTTTCTCCATGAATCATGTGAAAAGTCAGATTCTGGGAACAAACTGGAAGGAGGCTGGGCTCTAGATCCAGAGGCATCAGGCCCAGGACACAGATACACCAGCCTCCCTGTGGCCTGAGTGGAGGCCTGCCCTTTGACTGTCGTGTGCCCCCCCACCTCCCCCACCCGCAGGTGTGTGGTGCTGAAGCTGGCCAGCCTGGGGATGTTCTCCTTCTCCCTGGGTCAGACAGTGCTGTGCATTGGCACTAACAAGACCAGCTGTGAGTCCTACGGCTACAACGCCTGTGACTATCAGGTGGCTGGCTGCCCTCCTCCCGTCCTTGTCCACAAATCCCCATCTCAAACTATGCACAGCCCCTTCCTTTTGGTATCCCAATGACAGGAAGCCAAACTGCCATACAGCGGAGTGCCCCCAGGGGGCACCCGGCACCAGACCCAGGGGCTGCGCCACAGCATCCCCCGGCTGGGAGGTCCCTGCTCAGGTTTTATTCCCCAGGGTCGTGTTCGACTACAAGCAGGACTCCTAGATGCCCTCCAGTGGGTGGGTGAGGGAAGGGAATGTGAGGAGCCTGAGGATGGTGACTGACAGGTCCCCTTCCTCTGCACCCCAGTGCTGGGAGAACTCGGTGGGTGAAGAATTATATAAACTGATCATCTTCAACTTCCTGCTCACTGTGGCCTTCGCCTTCCTGGTCAGCCTTCCTCGGAGGTGAGCCATGTGGGGGCACTGCAGGAGGGATGGGAGGCAAGGGTGGGCTAGGTCTGTCCCCATGAGAGGGTGTGATGGCCCGCTACCCTTGGTGCCTGGTGGATACCCATCCCCTTCCACCCCCTAGGCTGTTAGTGGAGCGGTTTTCGGGCTGGTTCTGGACTTGGCTGGACCGGGAGGAGTTCCTGGTGCCCAAAAATGTGCTGGACATCGTGGCCGCGCAGACGGTCACCTGGATGGGCCTCTTCTACTGCCCCCTACTGCCACTGCTCAACAGTGTCTTCCTGTTCCTCACCTTCTACATCAAGAAGGTGAGCGTGTTGGTATGAGGGCGCTCAGGACAGGTGTGTCGACCTGGGCACCATGAATGGGGCCAGGAAGAGGTGGGCTGCATCCTGCTTCTGTCCTCCCTCCCTGGGCTCAGACTCTGGGGTCCACAAAACATTCTGACAGGGGCCAGAGAGATGGCTCAGCAGTTAAGAGCACTGGCTCCCCTTGCAGAGGACCCAGGTTCAATTCCAGGCACCCACGTGGGTGGCTAACAACCGTCCCTAACACCAGTTCATAACTGCAGGGATCTGACACCCTCTTCTGACCTCCGTGGGCATTGCATGGCATAGGTGCGCTTACATACATGCAGGCAATACACTCATACACATATAAAATAACAAAATATTCTTTAAAAATACCACTCTGACAGTTCCTGCCTGTCGTTCCCCCAGTACACCCTCCTGAGGAACTCCAGGGCATCCCCACGGCTTTTCCGAGCCTCCAGCTCCACCTTCTTCTTCCAACTGGTGCTGCTCTTGGGCCTGCTCCTGGCTGCAGTGCCTCTGGGCTATGTGATCAGCAGGTGATGAGGGCTGGGGGCTCAGGACGGGGAGGAAGGGGGCAGCTCCTCCCCCAGGCGCTGACAACCTGTCCATTCCTGTGTCTCCAGCACCCACTCCTCCTGGGACTGCGGCCTTTTCCACAACTATTCGGCTCCTTGGCAGGTGGTACCGGAGCTGGTGGCCCTCCAGCTCCCGCTCCCGGGGCAGCGAGCCCTCCACTATCTGGGTTCCCACGCCTTCAGCTTCCCACTCCTCATCCTGCTCAGGTGACTCTGGACAGCAGGAGCCAAGGGGGATGGGTGCACCTGGGCATCCCCAGCCAGTGTTCTGACTCCTGTCACAGGAGCCAGAGGAGGAGGGCTCAAAGGCAGGTGGGCTGGGGACATACTGTGGGCAACTCTGGGCTCTCCTAAGATGCCACGGAGATGGCATGCCCACCCAGGAAACAGCCCCTGGTGAAGTGTCCCCAGCCTTACATGCACACAGAGGGGCTGGGGGAGAAAGTGCAGGTCCTGTCTTCAGAAAGGGCTCTGACACTGAGAGACTGGGGTAGAGCCAGGCACGGTGCTCACCTGTAATCCCAGCACTCTGAAGCCTGAGGCAGAAGGACTGCTGTGAGTCTGAGGCCAGCCTGCCTACATCATGAACTCCAGGCCAACCTGGGCTACATGGCAAGGCCCTGTCTCAAAGAGAGAAAGTAGGGAAAGGGTGAGGAAGTCAGGAGGGGACACCTGTGGCCTAGGGGTGACCTGGAATTCTTTCTGCCTCAAGCCTGGTCCTAACGGTGTGTGTCTCCCAGTCCCGGGCAAATACCAGAGCCATCCATGGGTTGCGGAAGCAGCTGGTGTGGGTGAGTGTCAGTTGGCTGAAGGAATGGGGGACACTGACTCCGGAGACCTTGGGACGATGTAGCTTGACTGGGAGACAAACCTGAGGTGGTAGGGGTGTTTTGTCACCGGAAGGTATACGCCGAAGTTAGGGCGGGACAAGGGCACCTGGATGGGAAACCGATAGACACTATGATCTTGGGCTGGGGGTGCAGGTTCCAGCCACAACCTGGTGGCCAGGAGCTCAGACTCTGAGCCTTTGATGGAGACGCCTCGGGTTGAAGGGAGGTCTTGGGCTGGGGGCAGGACCCTGAAAGGGCAGGACCTGTTCTGGGGTGTGCGCTGGACCTGTGTGCCTAGCAGAGGCACTGCGCTGGGGGAGGACCCTGGGGGCGTGGCCTCCGCTCTGGGTTCTGACCCAGCTTTGGTCTGTGTGCCCCTCGCTTTCCCTGCAGCAGGTCCAGGAGAAGTGGCACCTGGTGGAGGACCTGTCGCGGCTGCTGCCGGAGCTGAGCCCGGGGCTCGAGTCCCCTCACTCTCGAGCTTCGCGCCCACGGTCCTTCTGCCCCGGGTTCCCATGCCCAGGCTCCCCGGGCCCCAGGACCCCCCGGCCGGGACCTTCCGGTGCGGATCCCACCAAGCTGAGCTCCTTAAGCCCTGGTGGCCCTGGTGCCTCGGTCCCCACCTCCAGATTCCGCTTCCCCAGCGGCGCAGAGCCCTAGCACCCACCCTGCCTCCCCCGCCTCTGGACCAGCAGTGCCCCACTCCCAACCCTGGCACCACCTTATCTCACGCTTCCCCCACCCACCCACTGCCCACGGCTGGCTCCGGGCCTCTGTCAGGGCTCCCCCAAAGAGGGACACGTCCCAAGGTCAGCAGGAAGAACATGGGAATTTCTACCTCTGTTTTTTTAATCTCATCCCGTCAAATTTTCTATTTTTTATTGAGTGTTTTATAGTGTACATAATATATTATTATGGCAACCCATTAGTGCAATTTACAAATACATATTTTTTTGGAAGTGCTCAGAAATTGCTTACAAAGGGATTGCTATCACAAACCTTTGAAGACCTCTCTCCATGAGGCAGGAAGATCTGGCCACAGTCTGGAGCAAACCAGATCCCTGCACCAAGGACTCTTCTAAGTATGTGATGAGCCCACAGAAGTGAAGCCAGAGTCAGCAATGGGAAGAGCTGAGGCTTGAACCCAGACACATCAACCAGATCCCTGCACCAAGGACTCTTCTAAGTATGTGATGAGCCCACAGAAGCGAAGCCAGAGTCAGCAATGGGAAGAGCTGAGGCTTGAACCCAGACACATCGGCTCCAAAAGCCACACTAAACCATTGTGGGACTCAGGTCACTGCAACCCTGACCAAGGCTTGTTAACGTCTGAGCGGTGTCTGGGTGTTTATTGGTCAGTCCTTCCTTTAGAGGACTCCTCACTGTCCTAATTTTGGTTTGGTTCTGTTTTGGATTTTTGAGACAGGGTCTCCCTGTAGCCCCAGCTGGTCTGGAACTCTATGTAGACCAGGCTGGCAGCAATCACACAGAAATCTGCTACCTCTGCCTCCCTAGTGCTGGGACTAAAGGTGTGCACCACCACACCCAGCGCTGCCCCATATTTTAACCCAGCAAATCCACACCCACTAACACTCCTTGGGGAAAGCTCATCAAGTCCATGACCACACCTCTACAGAACGTTGTCCTCGCAACATGCTCTTTGAGCATCTGGTAGGTGATGCTGTGCCAGGCTCTTAGAGATCTGTGCAATGTGCTGTGGGAGGTGGCCCTGGAGGGTGGTATGTCCACTAGGGCCACAAAAAGTAGAGAAGGGCTGCAGCCCCAGGCTCTACCTTGAGATTTCCGGGCCTGTTCAAGACTCCTTTCCAGGGAGGCTGGAGAGATGGCTCAGTGGTAAAGAGCTGTCCTGGAACTCACTATGTAGCCCAGGCTGGCCTAGAACTCACAGAGATCCACCTGCCTCTGCCTCCCAAGTGCTAGGATTAAAGGCATGCGCCACCACAACTGGACCAAAAAGGAATTTTTAAAAAATATTTTATTAACTATTTTTATTTTATGTGTGTGAGTGTATTGCCTGTATGTATAGGAGTGCACCCGTGTCGTGCATTCACACATACAGGAGAGGGCTTCAGATTCCCCTGGAACTGGAGTTAAGGATGGTTTGTAGCCGCCACGTGGGTGCTGGGAATAGAACCCAGGTCCTCTGCAAGAGCAGTCAGTGCTCTTAACCACTGAGCCATCTCTCCAGCCCCAGGAAAGGAATTTTTTAAAAAGGTTTATTTATTTTATGGGACTGGAGAGATGGCTCAGACGACCCAGTTTCAGTTTCCAGCACCCACATGGCAGTCTTTGGGTACTGGACAACACAGGTGCACTTAACATGTAAGCAAAACACTCATACACATTAAAAAAAAAAATAGCCGGGCCTGGTGGCACATGCCTTTAATCCCAGCATTCAGGAGGCAGAGTCAGGCAGATCTCTGTGAGTTCAAAGCCAGCCTGGTCTACATAGTGAGTTCCAAGATAGCTGGGGCCATAGGGAGACCCTGTCTCAAAAAGACCAAATTAAAAAATAAATAAAAACATCGTTATTTTACGTGTATGTGTAAGCGCCTGCATGTATATATGTGCATCACCTGTGTGCCTAGGGCCTGTACAAGCCAGAATAGAGTGTCAATTCCCCTGGAATTGAAGTCTTAAGCCATGAGGGTGCTGGGAACTGAATCCAGGTCCTCTGCAAAAGCAGCAATGCTCTTAACCACTGAGCCATCTCTCCAGCCCCCTGGAGTCTTGAACAGGCCCAGGAATCTCAGGCAGCGCCTAGGGCTGTAGCCCTTCTCCACCTTTTGTGGCCCTGGTGGACATACCACCTTCCAGGGCCACCTCCCACAGCACACTGCACGGGCCTCTAAGCCTGGCACAGCATCACCTACCAGATGTTCAAAGAGCAGGTTGGGAGGACAATGTTCTGTAGAGGTGTGGTGACTTGATGAGCTTTCCCCAAGTTAAGAGCACTGGCTGCTCTTGGAGAGGACCCGGGTCCTATTCCCATCACCCACATGGCAGTTAATGACCATCTGTAACTCCAGTTCCAGGGGATCCAGTACCCTCTTTTGACCTCCGAGGGCATTGTACACCAACCACAGGTGCACTTAAAAATTCCTTTCCAAGAGTACCCCACCTGGCTCCAGGGTTTGGAAGGAGATCCCCATGAAGTTGTCAGAAGCTGACATGATCCTAGTGACTTTGAGGTGACTAGCCCAGGTGTAGCTAGCAGCCAGGCATGGGGACATTTTAAAGCACCCAGGTGCAACCACTGAGGTACAGATTTGCTGGCAGGCAGAGGCAGAAGGAATCCCAGGAAGCTTTTTATTCTCTTGAAGCAGTGTCACATGTAGCCCAGGCTGGCCTTGAACTCGTGCCCCTCCTATGTCCACCTCCCAAATGCTGAGATTACAGGCCTGTGCCACTATACCCAGCTCCAAGGAAGTGCCTGAGAAGCCTGCAGTTGCCCCAGGCTTCTGGCTGGATTCCCACCCCGGATGTAACATCCACGTGGCTCTGGCAGGATGCCTCAGAGGCTAGAGGCTTCTCAGGTGACCATTGAAAACTTGGCCAGCTTAGGCCCTCCTGTGGTTGACCTTGCCTTGCTTGTCCAGCATCACATGACACCCCCCCCCCCAGTCTGTAACCAAACACCAATTAAGTGCGCTAAATGCAGGGTCCTGTTCTGGGGGCTGGCAGTAGGACCATGAAGGAAAGGTGCAAGCCCTGTGCTTAGTCCAGGGAGGGTGGCAACCTTTGCCCAGGTGAAAGTGAGACATAATGCTTAGCGGCTTTTAGACCAGCAGCTGCAGCAAATACTCCAGGGAACAGGTGGGACATGCAGATTCTCAGGTCCTGTTCTGCCTGTCCTTCGAGGAGGAAACTCTAAGGGAGCCTAGCAATAGAGGTCCTTGTGAGCCAGGCACAGTGGGTCACACCTAGAATTTGAGCACTTGGGAAGTTGAGGCAGGAGAATTATGAGTTTGAGGCCAGCCTGGGCTACACAGCAAGACCTGGTCTCAAAAACAAAACTAGAGGTGGCTGATGGTTAAGGGCACTGGCTGCTCTTGCAGAGGTCCCAAGTTCAGTTCTCAGCACCTACATGGTGGCTAACAACCATTATTAACTCCATCATCTCCAGGGGATCCAACACCTTCTTCTGGCTTCTGTGGGCATTGTACACACATGGTACACTTACATACATGCAGGCAAAACACTCATACACATAAAAATATTTTTTAAAATATTTTATTTATTTTTATTTTATGTGTATGAGTATATTGCCCGCATGTATGTGAGTGCACCCGTGTCGTGCAATGCCGCAGAGGTCAGAAGAGGGCTTCAGATTCCCCTGGAACTGGAGTTAAGGACGGTTCATAGACTCCACATGGGTGCTAGGAATCGAACCCGAGTCCTCTGCAAGAGCAGTCAGTGCCCTTAACTGCTGAGCCGTTTCTCCAGCCCCACATAAAAATATTTTTTAAAAAGCCACAAAGAGCTACCCATTCCTGTAATACCAGCACTCAGAGTCAGGAGGATAGCCACAAGTTTGTATCTAAATAATGAGTTCCAGGCCAGCCAGGACTACATAGTGAGACTGTCTCAAAAATACCAAAAAATGATAACAAATAAATCATAAAAACTAAACAAAGCAATGTGAAGCCATGTTTCCCTGCCCAACACACACACAAGGGCCATTTTGGAGGAGTGGGAAGGGACCCGTGGCCTACTATGGGGTCTTCCAGGACGGCACTTCCAGGAGAGGGCTCAACTTGGAGTCCTCCAAAGGAGGGCCTTATGGAAAGGGAGGAGGTGAACAGGAGATTGGGGGTGCAGGTACTGAGCAAGGCATGTAGTTGGCAACATGCTATCCAGGCTAGGGACGTGGGGACCCTGAAGCCTACAGGCCTCGGGTTGGTCAGAGTATAAAAGGCGGTGCCTTCACACACCTGGATGTGTGCCACAGGTCTTAGAGGGCTTTCTGTAAATGACAGGAGCCAGGGGACCGTGAAACAATGGGTCTGCCCTCTCAGTAGCCCAAAAGTCACTCTGGGGCAGGGAAACACCCACATAAACGGAGTGAACGTGTCACAGCCACGGAGCCCCCTGGAGGGGATGGGCACAAGTCCCAGGACATGAAATATTTGGGGTTCCTGGACTTTCCCTGCTCAAGCCTCCAGATAATTCTCCCTCCATTTGCTCATCATAGCAACCCTAAGCAGTCCCCCCCCATTTCCAGGAAGGGGATGTAAGGAGTCCCCCCCAATAAGGCCATCTGCTGTAGAGAGCCCCTGGCAAAGGTCAAAACATCAGTGTATGCCAGGGAACTAGAGAACTTTAAGGCTGCCACAAAACCACACAAGGTAACCCACAGTAATCTCAGGAGACACTGGGAGTATGCCCTGACCAGCCCTATCCTCCCTGCTGGTGGCTGGAGAGAGGCTATGCATGTGTCTATGCCCATACCACCCTGAAGACATCCAGTCTTGTCTGATCTTGGAAACAGCATGGTTGAGCATGCTTAGTACTTGGATGGGAGAGACTGGTTTCTTTTTATGCCCCTGAAGCTCGAATTACAGGCGGTTGTGAGCCACCAAACATGAGTACTAGGAATTGAACCCAGGTGTTCTGGAAGAGCAGCAAGCACTCTTCAAGGCTGAGCTCTCTCCAGACCCAATATATACTGTTTAACCTTAAAAATACTTCCTCTCAGAGTTAGAGAGATGGCTCAGCAGTTAAGAGCACTGGATGCTCTTGCAGAGGACCCGGGGTTCGATTTCCCAGCACCCACATGGCGGCTGACAACCATCTGTAACTCTTCCAGGGGATCTTTCACCTTCTTCTGACCTCCATGAGCATTACACCACATGGGTACACTTACATACATGCAGGCATAACACACATAGACATAAAATTAAAATAATAATAATTAAAAAATCCTTCCTCCTTCCTCACCCCATCCCACCCCAGAGGAAGCAAGAGGAGATTAAGGAAGGGAGTTTGCTGGCAACTAAGACAAAATGCTCTCCCCCTCTGTCGCCCTCACTCGACACAGGGAGAGCAGAGAGGTGGAGGGAGGGAGAAGGATCCGTTCCCCAGGGAGGTGCCAGGCATGGGTGGTAAGTGTTTGGAGAGAAAGAGGTCCACCATCGGGGAACGGAGCAGGTCTCCAGGTAACACTGGTGCTGGCTGTTCCCTGTCCACAGGGTCACCCCTCAGGCAGCTGGTCTGGAGTGGCTTCCCCGTCAGGTTAGCATTCCCAGATGGGTGAGCCAGGAGTGGGAGGGCAGCTGTCAGTCAGGTTCTGTGGACCTCAGCTGTGAAGAAACAGCCAGAGCAGGGGCTGGAGAGACTCTTGCCGAGGACCTGGGTTCCTTTCCCAGTACTCACATAGCGGCTAACAACTGCCAAGGGGAATCCCTTTTTCTGGCCTCCACCAGCATCGTACACTCGTGGTGCCGTTATATACATGGAGGCAAAACACCCACACACATAAAACAGACAAACAAAAATATTTTAAAAAAGAAAGAAATGGCCAAAGTGGAGTTTTGCTCCAGTCACTGAACCGACACAGAAAGGACCAGGCTGGTCCACAGCCCCAGGCCTGCGCTGGGGTAAGGAGCCCAGCCACATGAGGGGGCAGGTGCAAGTGGCCTGCCTCTGGGGAGGTGGGGGTCTTAACCCCCATCTTGCTTGATTCCCTGGCTCTCTGTGTCCCTCAGACCCTGCAGATCTGGCCCTGATGTGGCCTCAGGGTGGGAAGCCCTGCACTGACCAGGCCACACCACTGATGGAATACATTTTGCTTTCCTCTGTCCAGGTCCCTAGGGGATGACCTTGCCTTTCTGGGCTCCTCAAGGGCAAGGCTCCAGCACACAGTGTCATATTCTTGGGGCGACCTGGAGCCTCATCCAGCTTGAGGTCTAACTGGAAGATAGCACATGGCAGGTACTATCTGGCAGTCAGATACAAACCAATGGGACATGGGCCATGGTGCCTCTCCTCCCTGCCTCCCTAGCGGGGTGACCAGCAGTTCTCAGGGTTCCCTTAGAAGGTCCCACCCAAGTCCCCCATGATAATTACCCATCCCAAGCTCAGTAGGGGCACCCTCACTCCCCAACCCCTTCCAGGTAATAGAGATTCTCGGGGCCCCAGGCCAAGGACAACAGACATCTTCAACCTGTCTGCACAGGAGCCCCAAACCCAGCCAAGCTCTGCAGTGAAAGCTGAGCTTAAGGCCTGTCTGGTTCAAAGGCCCAGACTCCTTCCACCTCTCCGACCCTGTCTTCTGTGACCTAGGGTACCCTGGACCCAACCCTGCAGGGTAGCTGGGGGCCCCCAAGTTATCTCCTCTTTGCAGGCAGCCACCAAGGTGCTTCCCAGGGGCCCTAGGGTGGAGGGACCAACCAGGAAGCTGCTGGCAGCCTAAACCAGGGGCCCGGACTGCACCACACTGCACCGCCTCACAGAGGCATGAGGCTCCCTGGGCTGCTTTGCGTGGCCATGCTAGGTGAGCCCTGAGGACACTGGGGAAGGGCCATGGGGAATGGGGTGCAGGGGAGGCCTGAATCCAGGGCCAGAGAGGACAGTGTGGGAGTGTATGGGCAGGAGGCAGAGACCAGCCCTGTGGTCCACGTATGTGCGTGTGGCCCTGTTAGGGCTTCATCTGTGTTTTGATTCCCTTCAGTGTGTGTGTGTGTGTGTGTGTGTGTGTGTGTGTGTGTGGTGTGTGGTGTGTGGTGTGTGGTGTGCACTATGTGTGTGGTGTGTAGTGTGTGTGGTGTGTGATGTGTAGTGTGTGTGGTGTGTGGTGTGTGGTGTGTAGTGTGTGTGGTGTGTGGTGTGTAGTGTGTGTGGTGTGTGGTGTGTAGTGTGTGTGGTGTGTGGTGTGTAGTGTGTGTGGTGTGTGGTGTGTAGTGTGTGTGGTGTGTGGTGTGTAGTGTGTGTGGTGTGTGGTGTGTAGTGTGTGTGGTGTGTGGTGTGTAGTGTGTGTGGTGTGTGGTGTGTAGTGTGTGTGGTGTGTGGTGTGTAGTGTGTGTGGTGTGTGGTGTGTAGTGTGTGTGGTGTGTGGTGTGTAGTGTGTGTGGTGTGTGGTGTGTAGTGTGTGTGGTGTGTGGTGTGTAGTGTGTGTGGTGTGTGGTGTGTAGTGTGTGTGGTGTGTGGTGTGTAGTGTGTGTGGTGTGTGGTGTGTAGTGTGTGTGGTGTGTGGTGTGTAGTGTGTGTGGTGTGTGGTGTGTAGTGTGTGTGGTGTGTGGTGTGTGGTGTGTGGTGTGTGGTGTGTAGTGTGTGTGGTGTGTGGTGTGTAGTGTGTGTGGTGTGTGGTGTGTAGTGTGTGTGGTGTGTGGTGTGTAGTGTGTGTGGTGTGTGGTGTGTAGTGTGTGTGGTGTGTGGTGTGTAGTGTGTGTGGTGTGTGGTGTGTAGTGTGTGTGGTGTGTGGTGTGTAGTGTGTGTGGTGTGTGGTGTGTAGTGTGTGTGGTGTGTGGTGTGTAGTGTGTGTGGTGTGTGGTGTGTAGTGTGTGTGGTGTGTGGTGTGTAGTGTGTGTGGTGTGTGGTGTGTAGTGTGTGTGGTGTGTGGTGTGTAGTGTGTGTGGTGTGTGGTGTGTAGTGTGTGTGGTGTGTGGTGTGTAGTGTGTGTGGTGTGTGGTGTGTAGTGTGTGTGGTGTGTGGTGTGTAGTGTGTGTGGTGTGTGGTGTGTAGTGTGTGTGGTGTGTGGTGTGTGGTGTGTGGTGTGTGGTGTGTAGTGTGTGTGGTGTGTGGTGTGTAGTGTGTGTGGTGTGTGGTGTGTAGTGTGTGTGGTGTGTGGTGTGTAGTGTGTGTGGTGTGTGGTGTGTAGTGTGTGTGGTGTGTGGTGTGTAGTGTGTGTGGTGTGTGGTGTGTAGTGTGTGTGGTGTGTGGTGTGTAGTGTGTGTGTGTGTGTGGTGTGTGGTGTGTGGTGTGTAGTGTGTGGTGTGGTGTGTAGTGTGTGTGGTGTGTGGTGTGTAGTGTGTGTGGTGTGTGATGTGTAGTGTGTGTGGTATGTGATGTGTGGTGTGTGGTGTGTAGTGTGTGTGGTGGGCAGTGTGTAGTGTGTGTGT